TTCCACCCTCTCACTTTATCTTTAGGCGAACCAGGGAGAGACCCAAGATGTTTTCTCAAGTTAATTTCTTGATGTGGGCTCAAACCCCTCTTATCTGACCCTTGCTTTGGTACTGGTTCCACTCCTGTTATTCAAGATCACTCCCTACGGCAATTGCCTTTCTCTGCAGTCTGGCTTAGTTTGCCTTCTAAAACATCAGTATCCGTCTCATTCTAACAGCTTTATAGCAGGGAGTTCTTTAATAGTGCTATGGGGGATTTCATGTACTTGTAATTAATAAGATTTTCCTTATTAATCTGAGTGAGATCCAGGATTTCTACCAACCATGGCACCAGAGTTCTTCATTCATCTTTTGCTTGCTATGTTTCATCATAGGAGGATCCACATACAGGGAGTAAAATATAAACTAGTCTTGGAGTGGATCTTTCTTACTTTTTGATATAAAAACTATTTGGGAATTGTCTGATACTGTAATAGTATGCAGGAATGAACTTAGAAGATAGGAGCAAGAATTGCACAGTCATTTTTGTTCATGCTTTTGCTGGAAAAGCAAACTTTGTTGGATCAGATTTAAAACAAGTCTCATTCAAGAAAGTAAGAAGGGGCCAAATAAGCTACTGTAGTATAGTGCAAAGCTACTTGAGATACTTCCAATGCTGCTTGTTTTGCATACCCTTGAATATACATCGGCTCTGGTATTTAGGTTGATGTTCCTCTTCAAACAGTTAAATGAGGTATTCAATAAACACACAAAATTACTATTATTTTAAGAGAGATTGATGGCCTAAGTGTTTTCTTTACTATTTATTCTACACTCAATGGATGTAGATATTTTGAGGCTACAAGTCAAGAATCAGTCATCAGTCAGTCAGCATCATTGGGAAATCTGGCAATTATAATTCCATCAAAATTGGTGTGCACCCAGCTAGGGATTTAGACATCACAGATAATATTTATCATGTAATGTTGAGAGTTCACACATAATGATTGAAAATTTACAAATAAAGTTGCAATGTGTGATATTCAGGACAGTGCTCACTGTGGGGATTTCTAGTCAGCCATGCCTTCTTTCAATAAACTGCATTCTACTTCCCCTGTTGGAAGAGAATAATGAAACTGCAAATAAGACAGATGGTTACAATGAATATATACAAATCAAGGTAAAAGAAATATAATTGAATAGAAGGAAAGGGAGAAATAGAGAGAAGTTGGGAAAAGATATGAAGTTGAATATATAAGATAAATATGCATACTAAACTGTGCTTGTATGGAAATGTGATAGTTTGGAATTATGCTGTCTTTAAACAAGATGTTTTATTTGTTTTTCAGAAAAGATGTTTTATGTTTTTATATCTTACGTTTTGTTTGTTTGTGTATTGTTTTTAAAAATTAATAAAATTTGTTTTTTTTAAAAAAAACAGTGGCTCCCTCAAATTTGTTTTTAACTTTCTCTCATGCATGAATTGCGTTGTTTTAGTTACACCAAGATCAGCACTACAGGAATGAGTTAACCATACAGAATGTAAAAGCTGATTTTAGGCTTGCAAACTAAGTCAGATTTAAAACTAAAACATGAAACTCTTTTCTATCCTACCCAAATGTACAAGTTCTTTCTTTAAAGTTCCTTTTATATTCACACACATAAGGATAACTCCATTGCCTAAATCTATGTAAGCCAAACTTTTGTTATTGTTCATAGTACATTGCTCCTCAGAGACAAACAGTGAAGAAAAAATAGATTCCTGTTTCTATTTCAGTTTTCAGTATTTGGGGAAATCAAAGTGCCTGCAGCTCCTTAGGAGTAAAGAAGATACAGAGAGAAAAGGTGCTGGAGATTAGAAATATCATGGTCCCAACTAGATTTGATTCTTTCCTTCCTTCATCAGGTTGGTCAACAACACATGGGTAATAATTTTTTAAATTGGAGCAGGCATCAATTCAAAACGAGTAGATTATTCTCATAAATTATGATTAACATTGTGACTACACGTGCATATACACCATTGTAATCACTACAGGAAAGGAATGCATTCCACTAGGAACATCTTTTGAACAAATGCTTTGAAGTGAAGGCTGTCAGCCAATTAAAGAAATTGAAATTAATCGTACGAATTTGGATTGATTAATCAATTCCATCTGCACGCAGAAAGCATTCTCTTTGGCTTTAGAGGATGGAAGCATCTGTCAAAATGTGAGGCAGGAGAAGGAATGTCTCTTCTAAAATGGCACGTTCCACAGTGAATTTTTGCATCAATATTTGTTAAGACTTTTTTTTTAAAAAAAAATATATCTTATGCTTGTTTAATGGGACCAAAACATGTTATGAATTTATACAGTAAATTATTGAAGTAAACATTGTAGCCAGTTAAAAATTAGTAATATGTGTGCAAAACCACAACTAGTGTTTCAAATGGCTCCGAAGATCTGGCTCTTAGCCCAGGCCTTTGGCAAGCATGATTGGAGCGCCTGCTTCTTCTTCCTTTTCTTTGTTCCCATCTGGTTTTGTTATCTCTGCCACCTTTGTTCCTTTTTTTGTTTTGCATTGTTTTCTTTTTTTTAATATTTTTAACCATTTGTAAACTGCCCAGAGTTACTAGGAGTTGGATGGCATTTACATTTAATAAATAATAATAATTCATTTATTTCATTAATCTTGCACAACTATTTGATTTATTAAATTTATTTGCTGCCCCTCTCATATCAAAACCACTCTGGGCAGCTTTTTAGTCTATTGTTAGCTATAATTTTTTTATTACCTCATGAATCATAAACACTGAACCTAAGGGGAAAAACATTAAAGCTCATTTGACATTATTTTGATCACATTTTTGTGATTTCACTGGAAGTACACTATGGTTTCCAACAATAGACAAACAGTGACAAGGAATGTTTGCCAAAAGGAACATATTTTGTGGTTATGAATTCTAGCTACAATATGTTAGAAAGGCTACTGAAGCATTAAGAGGCACTATGTAGGATATGAATTATGAATGTTGTTGCATATGAAATGTACTTAAAATAAATGTCTCAAATTTATGCTCCTAGGACAGCTTTCTTCCGAGTTCAGTGTTTTGCAACACTGAAATTCTGTTATATAGAGAATATATAACAAATAGACAGTTATGGAATTCTGACACTGAGAAGGCAAAAAGCTTTGATCCATACAGGATGGTAACACTATGAGTAAAGAAGCAGGATGAGTAAAGAAGGAGTCTGGTCATAGACCAAAGCACAGCATTGGGAAGGCTTTTGGAGATAGCAGAGCTGACACGTGGTCATAGTCAGAAGTACTATTTTATGATGGCTCTATTCTGAGAGAGCTTCTCTTTCTTCTACTATTCATGATCTATTCAGGCTAGACTATTGTAATGTATACTTTGTGGTTTTTCTTTTAAAGATTTCAGATCTTCCTTCTGTTCTCAATTCAATTATCTGACTTTTGAAGGATTAGATTGCTCAACTCTTTTGAAAGCAAATTAATACTTCAAAGTCTTTCTTCATTCAGCTTATTGCACTCATCGACAAGGAAACCTCTTCTTTGTCCACCATTAAGGAGAGGAGAAGACAGAGGAAAGGAGAGGTCTTACAGAATGGATAGACTGGAGAGAAAAGTTGGACAGTGTAATTAAGTAGTAGTAGAAAAATTGTAGAACAGTTGTAGGTTCTTGGCTAGGATATGTAATGGTATGTGGGAATGACCTTGGGAGATAGGAGGAGGAGCTCCAGCCTGGATGATGATCTGATAAACAAGGAGGGAAGGCTACTTTCAGAGTTGCAAGATTCTCTTAATGTAATCTTAGAATTACATTAGACAGTTGTAGAAGTTCTGATTGTGTTTCTTATCTGTACCTTGCGAGTCCTAACATCAATCTTGCAAGTCTAAAAGTACCCTTTCCTTCTTCTCATCTCTCCCAAGGTCATTCCCGCATATCATTACAGGAAGGGAGAAGAAAGAGGAGTGGTTTCCCTGAAAGAAGGGAAATGAAGACCTAGAGGGATGAGAGCTCCATCCCAAGCCTAAGAATGAGGAGAAAGGAACACCCAGCTGGTTGTGGGCAGCAACTTCACTCAACACCCCAGAGGGGAAGGAAGGGATCAGTTGTCAGTGGAAAAACTGTGATCTTTGGAGAATGACTGAGTAGATGACCCTGGGGAAATGGAGAAGCAGTAGGTATTTGACTAAGCAGTTCCAAAAGATCGAGCCATAATGAGTATATTACAGTACATTCCAGTACATTCGTTTCTTTTCACTCTCTCTCTTGTCAAACCCAGAAATCAAGGGGAGAAATAGAGAAAAGGTGGGGAGGAATCAGGATTGGCATCTTGGAGGGAGATTTAGGAGGAAACCTGACACCAGTATTGTACACCTGTTGCACCTGTTATAAATACCAGTGGTAAATAATGTCACTGTATATAGTAAAAAGCATAGAAACCGCCACAGTCTTGGTTTTTCTGTCACTCTTGCAAACCAATAAACCTCTAGTTAAAAAAAAAACCCGCCACAGTCATGGTTTTTCTGTCACTCTTGCAGACCAATAAACCGCTAGTTAAAAAAGAAAAAGAACTTTGTACACATTATGACAACCATGTCTGCTGAAACTTGAACATCAACTGGCTAATAACATATGATAATCCCTACTGATTTCAAATGCCACAAGGCAAGAATGATTTTATTTCTACCAGTGGCTGTGGAATCAATAACTGTTGGCATTCAGGGTAGTCATAGCTCTCAAACTGCTCCCTCCCCGTAGAGTTTTGCTGCCTTTTGCAACAGAGAAATGTGAAGTGACAATTCTATTGTGACTGTTTAAATATACAACTTTTAAAAATGGCTAACATTCCATCAAAAACCATTAGTGAAATGCATCATGAACAATCACAAAAGGAGTAAAATAATCCCCACAGTCTACAGAAAGTTCTAGGATATTGTGAACTACATTCAATTTAAACCCCACATTTTGAATAAAAAAGATAATATATTTATGTCACTTTTATCTTACTTGTAATTTCTTTCCCAGAACTTGACTGGTCTGGCGTATGATGTGAGAAATATGACACTCCCTAAAAATGGACTCAAGGGAGTAGAAAACATTGCAGTGGCCAGAGTCTGACAGAAAAGCATTGCAGAGTCTGAAAACTTCAAGTTAAGGTAGCATAAATATTAAATTCACTGGATTTTTACAATGTCCTTTAGGTGCCTCCTGATTTACTTAGTTTCCTTCCCAAAAGACAGGTGCAGCAAAGTAATGCATAAGAGCTAAAAAACTGTGATTATTTAGAATTTGATGTAATGAAAATATTGAAGCTACAACACAATGAACTCATAATTCATGCTAATTTGGGACAGAAAGTCATAATTAAATGCAAGAGGGGAAAAGAAGCACAGGAAACAAATGGAAAAGATTAGTGGAAGGCAGCAAAACTCTAGAAGTCCATGTCAAATAGTGAAATGAGCAACTAATGTAACTATTACAGATTTCTCTGTCTCCAGTAAGTTGAATATTTATCCTTGATAATAATTAATACTGCTATCTTATCTCCAGCTTTTCTTAAAAATAGTGCTTGTAAATGTAAATATATAACAAAGATTCAACCCATACAAATATACCCCTGAAATGAAAAGAAAAAGGCTTGCAAATTCCTGATAAAGAAAAAATAAATACAATGTCATTTAGGAAATATTTCATCTAGTATGTAAATATGGAACCTTAGGGAGGGGAAAGATTTTTCTCAACTTGGCAGAAAATTGTTTATACAATTTGTAAAAGTATCAGGGACATACTGTCCTTTTTTTAATTACATATACAACTGCAGAACAAATAATGAAACACATTTCTCATTTCCTATCTTACCTTACTTTTATCTATTTAATAACACAAATGTCATTTTCCCAAGCATTGTACGTAGCTAATCTTCTTGGAATGATGTACTTTTTTTAAAAAGGAACAAAACAAACAAACAATAGTGGGCTGTATAAATTACTCACAGGCCTCAGGCTGAATACACAACAAAATGCAAACAACTTTCTTAAAAGGATATGAGGTATTGCAAAGAGCTGAGCAAACACATGGAAAGATGAGCCCCAGGCTATTTGCCAAGGAGCAATATAAGTCATTATGAACTGTAATTTCTGTAGTAGATCCCACAGCTGAAAATGAAAGAGAGAAAAAAAAATGATGATAGCATCCATAAAATCTATTTTAAAAAACAACGACCCACTAAGCACTTGGGTTTCTGTATTTACTACAAGTGTACAAAGATTCTTCCTACACAGTTAAGATTAAATGCGATCATCAAAATAGAATTCTTTTTATAAGCCAAGGGCAAGAGTCAGAATAATCTCATGAAAGGGCAAGAGTCAGAATAATCTCATGAAACGTGTTTGTTACGAAAAACAGAATGCTTCACCTTATCTCATTTTTTTTTTAAAAAAACCAGGACCTTCTGTTTTAATACAATCCCAAATTAGGTGGGATGGGAACATAACCTGTGATAAATTTTGGGTAAAAAAAAAATGTATAAGGATGTTCGACTCCATTTTATTAGCATTCTATGCCTCATTGTTCTAAAATGAAATTCACTGTTAAGAAAACAAATAAAGCCAGGCTGCATCCCTCCTGCTTTATAATAAACTTTCCCTAAGATCTGATATTGATTGAAGTGCAGGCAGTCCTTGACTTACAATCATTCATTTAGTGACCGCTTAAAGTTACAATGGTGCTGGAAAAAGTGACTTACAACCAATCCTTGCACTTAGAACCAATGCAGCGTCCCCACAGTCACATGATCCAAATGTAAGTGCTTGGTAACTGACATGTTTTTACAACAGTTGTAGCATCCCAGGATCACACGATCACACATTTGTGACTTTCCCAGCCAGCTTCAGCAAGCAAAGTCAATGGGGGAAGCCGGATTTACTTAGCAATTGCTCAGTGATGGGATTTACATTTTTTTACTACTGGTTTGGTGCGCGTGGCTTGTAAAATCTCAATTCCCTCCCCACCCCACTAACCTGCTTTCCAGCTCTGTTCTCCTGTGCAGGCAACAAAAGAAGACCCAGCCAATCAGGTTGGGACTCAGGAGGCAGAGAATAGATGGGGGCGGGGCCAGTCAGAGGTGGTATTTGCTGGTTCTCCAAACTACTCAAAATTTCCACTACTGGTTTTCCAGAACCAGAGGTGGCAATCAGCAGGTTCTGACCAGTTCTGGAGAGCTGGTAGCGGAAATTTTGAATAGTTTGGCGAACCAGCAAATATCACCTCTTAATGGAGATTTTACAGTATCCTTCCACAGAACCGGTAGTAAAAATTTTTTAATTCCACCACTGTCCAGAACTGGTCAGAACCTGCTGAATACCACCTCTGCAACTGCTTGAGTCACTTAACTGCAGTCATTTGGTTTTAAAATTGTGATAAAGAAGGTTGCAAAATTGGGTGGAACTCACTTAACAGCCACCTTGCCTAGCAACAGAAATTCTGATCTCCATTTTGGTCATAAGTCAAGGACTACCGGTAGCATAAAAGCATTTGTATACATACACAGGCATAATTACACGTATACAGGGAGAACTATGGTAGGAGTGGCCTGTGAAAGTAAGGTCTCTATTGATCAAGACAAATGCACTAAAAATGCCAAAAAGCATTTCTACAAATGGGAAATGGCATCTATTCTCTTTCCTTCCATGAATCAAACTTTTTTACAATTTCTTTTCACCAAAGACAGGAAGGGGAAGGGAATTATAACCTTAACCAGGGCTTTTCAACAAAATTTGCAGCTAGACAAATTATATGAATCAAGAATATTAGTAAACATTATGTGAACCTGCTCAATTTACAGAACATCTATCTACACAACATTTCTGTGTCACCACAATGCTTCAGGGTTTCTTTTTTAATGCAGAATTCATAACTCCAAGTTTCAAAGAGGCAGTAACTACATAACTATCGGACATCATTCTGATTCCACTCCTGAGATTGAGCCATTAAAAGAAAGCATAGCCAAATAGAGAAAATATTTGTCAATGCGTAGTGCAGAATAATTTCAATTTATCTCCCTAATGTGCATTACTCACGAACACGCTCAGTGGTCTTTCTGCATCGTTATAGAGAAAATTGGCAGAGCTGGGGGATTAGCAAATAGCTGACCCTGAAGATGCCTCCTTGCATTATAGCTTGTTTTTATCATTCTAATTCATAGACATCCCAAGTCACTATGGATATTCCTTTGTCTTCTGTTACTTCTTTCTTTATTCTTGAAAACTAGAGCAAGAACAGGGTGGGCTGCTGGAGCTTCGCAGGGGTTCGGGAGAGTCCCGAGCTAAGATTCTGTGTAGTTCAGAGAACCCACAAATCGCACTCCTGGCTGGCCCTGCCTACCCCGCCCCACCCCTCCCAGGAGTCCCCATGTGGCCCATTTTGGATGCAGGTAAGTGCATGGAGGCTTGGGGAGGGTGAAAAAAACAAGTCTCTTGGAAGTTCGGGAAGGCCAGAAATGGACCTGTTTCTGGCTTCCAGAGAGCTTCCAGAGCCCGGGGAGGCTATTTTTGTCCTCCCGGACGCTCGAGAAAAGCCTCCGGAGCCCGGGGGGGCAAAAACCCCTCCTCCCCTCCACGGTGCAGGAGGCCAACTAGGCCACACCCACCATGGCCATACCCACCAGGCCGAGAACCCATTGCTAAAATTTTTGAATCCCACCCTTGAGCAAGAAGTAGTACTAAAAGTAGAAGTGGATAGTTCGCAGAAGACCAGTAGATACACCAGCATTTCTTTGGGGATTTCCAGAGAATCCCTGGGGAGGGCACTTCTGGCTTATATTTTTAAAGTTTGGGTTTTTTTAATAAGGGATGAGATGGATGCTTTGAATTTAATCTCCAAAGAATTAGGCCTATTTTTACCTTTTGTGGAGCATGGAGGTCAGTGTTTAAATCTTCACTTAGCTAAACCTGTTCACAGTCACCTGTGATGACCCGGAGTGTAACACAAACGTAACAAAATCCAAAACATAAATAAATTTCCTTTAATGCCTCCAACTTGGCCCCACTATTCAATAATTCTCAGTTGGAGATAAAATTTGTTCAAAAATAGTGTTCTAAAGAAAGCAATACAGTCCGAACTTAATGAGGAGATAAAGGTGAAATAAAAACAAAACAAAACAAACTACAATGAAGGAATTTCCACAACAGACCAGGATAAATAATTACCAACTTCAAGGAGATAACAATGTACAGTCTGTGGGAAGGACACCAACCAAGATAACTTCAGCCCAAAATAAAACACGCCTTGCTTCTGGCAACAATGTGTTTTAATCATCTCTCTTATATACTATTCTCCCCAGCTGCAACCAATGAGGGGGATCATGGCTGCTTCCTCTCTCATAAGCCAAGTTGTTTCCTTCTCTGTACCTCCCCGAGTGTCCTAGGATGAAGAGGGGATGGGCCTGGTTCTTCCTCTGACTGCCCAGCCAGCCTCTGCCCTTCCCCAGCCTCCTCCACAACCTCTGGAGCCACACCTCCACTCCCTGTCGGTTGTTCCTCCTCTCCCTCAGAGTCCAATTCTAATAAGGGCAGGACAGTCACCAATGTCTTAGTTTCCTCCCAGTTAGACTACTGCAATGCACTCTACATGAGATGACCCCTGAGGAGCATTGAGAAGCTGCAACTGGTCCAAAATGCAGCAGTCAGTGTTGGGGAAACCATTAACTCAAGTAAATGTGAAAAAAATATTTCCAGATCCATCTGTCAATAGGTAATGGATCCAAGAAATTGTGGCAAAAAGCAGTGCACCTAAGTAGACTATCAGCTAAACCGTGCTAGTTAAGAATTAGGTGATGCCATTTACTGTATGGGGGGGAAATTCTCTTCAGCATGTAATATAATTTTGCAGATTTCCCATTTCTACTTCACCAAAACTATTCTAATGAATTTAAGAAATTTCCCAATACAGTCTGAAAGGTAGTGAAAAGGGCTAGAGAAACTTCAACTAAATCAAAGACTCTTCTTCTTGAGATACTTCATTACAATCAGTTGTCACGTCTGAAGAAGTCCCAGCAGGTAGCTTGTGCAGTTGAGCAGATTATGTTGGCAGGTTCATTCTGAATCATTTTTTCCATAAAACTTTCTGACAGTCTTTCACCTAACTGACAATCAGAACCAAGCATTCATTTGCCAAAACACACGGACTAAACCAAGCATGCCTTGCATTTCAGACTAAGCTAGAGAATATCTGTTCAACAAAGATGTTCAAGTCAAAAATACTATTTTATCTGATTACTGACAAAACAAAGAACAGCATATTTCTGCAGCCAGGAGCATTGCCTTGCTAAATGGTATGATAAGCTTTGACGACCCAAAACCACTGAATTGTTTTTTTTAAAAAATGATATATTACCTTTTTCCATCACCAAAACCATACGAAACAGGTACACAATATGGTCTGTGGAACAGTATATTGGAAACCACATAAATAAGAAACTAAATTGTTGAAAAAAATAATCTATATTCAGACTTTTGGAATGCAAATATTATACATCTGCAGAAAAGGCAAACTGAGAGGCTTTATAAAAGGGAGTTATCATCTAAATTATGTACTGCAATATTTCTAAGTGATTTGGTCTCTTTTATTTGGAAATTTGGAAAAGTCCTTATATACTAGAGGAAAAATGATTTCAGAATCTGTTGAATGGTTTTGCAAGGGAAAATAAATATCAGCAATCAGTAACAGATCAGGTCACAAAGAGAAAAGTGGTGTAGGCAATAAAGACCCCAAGCAATTATATTGATTCACACGGTTTGAGCTCCCTGGATTGCATTAATTAAAGGCAAAAGGAACCAACTGGATTTCTGATTAGCTAGCATGAGACTGTTATTTTGGGCAATTGATTTTCAGTGACCTGAAATAGCAACAAATTGTTGGCTGAATAACTGATGATTGAAATTTTATATTGGGGATAATGGGCTCTTGTGGGGTTTTTCTATTTCTGGTAACATAAAAGCTTGGCTGGCTTTCAGAGCGATATAGTTTTGTGTCTGTATGTTTGTGTATGATTTGCAGCTTTGTCTCAGGCAATAATTATCTTGAATCAGCTCTGAAAAGAGATAAAATTACTACATGATCGGTCTACTATTATACTACAACTACTATTACTAATAGCATCTGAAAAAATAATCTGCTAAACAACTGTCTAATATGATTTTATTGTAAGGTTTTTGAAGAATAACAGAGAAACTTGATGTGTACTTTCAGCCACTGCCTTGATGGGATATTTGTTTTTGACATGATGATATGGATTGAAAACACTTTAGCATTGCTGTTCACATCTTCAATGAAAAGTAATGTCTTAATGGTCATTTTTACAATATTAAGTCCAGTTTAGGTAGAGTCAAAAGTATAGCAGGGAAAAATAAACTTCCTGAACTTTAACAAGAATTGTGACTGAGTTGGGAAACTGTAATAGTTCACAATCTGATAATATTTGGTCCAGTGGTTAAGGCACCAGGCTAGAAACCAGGAGAGTGTGAGGTTCTAGTCCCACTTTAGGAATGAAAACCAGTTGGGTGACTTTGAGCCAGTAACTGTCTCTCTCTCTGCCTGAGTTGTGGAGAAACTAGGAAATGGAAGGAGTGTTAGGGGTATGTTCATTTGAGTTATTTATAAAAAGAATAAAGGCAGGGTTAAAAAAAACATCTATATAAATATACAGAGAATATAGATCTATAAATACAGGCACGCAGATTCTTTAACAAAAAATGGATTCTTCCAAATGGCCTTTTTGAAAGCATGGTTCAAGACATTGTGGGAACCTTGGAAATTGATCCCCTTGATGCACTAGAATTCTATAAAATGTGTCAATTTGCAGAGTCATCAATTTTCTGCAATCTTAATGTTCTGATTTGCATTCTTTGTTCCAGCATCCTTCTGCATGAAAAAATAGCATCACAGTTTGATTGATGCTATCTTGATTTTACTCAGCATTCACTCAGCTTATTGCCCTATTCAACCTCTCAGCGGTTTGCAGATGTTGCTTTTCAACAATACTTTCTTCTTCCTTAAATTAACAGAAATCATATATTCCAAATCACTAAGACCAGCAAACAATTGCCATTCTCACAACAATCTCTTTTCTACCATAAAAGTATCACAATCATTCCTTCTTGTTTATGTACAGGGTGGGAAATGATATCACCAAGAATAGCTACAACTATTAACATCATGGATTTTAAAATTCTAGGAAAGCTGAAGGGTGTTTGGAGGGTGACTTCATGTAATGGTCTTATTTATTCTAAGGGTTCAGAAAGAGGATGGAAAGGGAAAAACACTCCAAGTGAACAACTACTTACAAAAATGGTGTCACATGAGATATTCAGATTCTTAGATTGCTGGGCTACATGGATGGGCCTTTCAAGGTTATTCACTGCCCAGAATAGCTCTATGAGGAAAACGGGTAGTTTCTAAATATGCTAAAGAAATAATGTCTGCCTGAAATATGAGCTTGAGCTTGATCAAGTGGGCTTTAATATCTGAATTTGTAGTCATCTATCTAGAAGTAACAGCAGCAGATACAGACTTTACAGTGTAGAGGTATTGTGAATTAGCATACTGTTGTTTACTCAGACGAGGGATAGCAAGCCATATTCCTCAGACGTTCATCCCAGCCTGCTGCACTCCACAAAGGTTTCATCCAATATGCATATCCCAGATGCCTGAAGAGCAGAGGTGATATTCAGCAGGTTCTGAATAGTTCTGGAGAACCGGTAGCGGAAATTTTGAGTAGTTCGGAGAACCGGTAAATACCACCCGTGACTGGAGATTTTACAGTATCCTTCCCCTGCCACGCCCACCAACCACGCCCACAGAACCAGTAGTAAAAAAATTTGAATCCCACCACTGCTGAAGAGATAGGCAGGAAAGTCCATAACAAGAGCAAAATCCAAGGCTCAAATGGGGGGGATAGGAAAAAAACCAACACTTTGCCTTTGATTTGTATAATAGCTTCTCACACCATCCTGATTGGCATACATGTGCCAATCATAAACAAACAAACAAAGGAACAAAAACAATCTTGTCTTGAGACATACAAAAAAAGAGATAGCTTGCAGGTATGAAGGGAAGCATATCACCTGGGAAGGCACCAAGAAAGAGCATGAGACAATGAAAAATGCAAGCAACATGGAGATTGGAAATAGTCATGAGTTTGGTATGCTAGTTCTTAGGAGAAGCAAGTAGGTAAGCAACGTCCAAGTGGAAGAAAGCCATAATAAGAGGCAAACTATTTTTTTTCTGGCAGTGGAGGTGAGGAAGTAGGCTGAATTAAGCCAAGAAAATGTTCAATGGCCTATTATATAAATGAATGAAAAATCAGGAAAAACATTGACTAATAAAATCTATGGCTTTCTATCTGTGTACTAATGTTCATGGGAATGAAATGAATTTGAATTCTATTGCAAGGCAAAGGCAAATGTAATTAGATATTATTTATACTGATCAGATGGTTCTCATGACGGGGACAGAAAAATTGAAGGATAGAACTTGTTCAAAAGATACGGGGCAGAGATGGAACTGGAGTATGATAAATGTATCTATATTTGCTAAAAATAATGACTTGGATGAAGAGGTGGATAAATGCTTATCCAAGTTTCAGTCAACACAGAAGAAAGTGAGGTAACTAATATTCTAGCCAGCAAAAGCAAAATCTGAGAAGAAGTTAATATTGAAAAAAGCAAAGTTCTTCACTTAGGTAGAAGAAATCACATGCGGAGTGATATGGTGGCAGATGGTTTGGTGAAATCATGTATAGAAAGAATCTGGATCATTCAGTAGTATGACATGGTTGCCAAAAAAGGCAATTTTGAAGCGCATCATAAGAATAGTTTTCAAATCACAGGCCTGACTCTATTTTCTGTATTGCATTCAGCGCTAGGCACCATGTTTTAAGAAAGATTCAGAAAAACCCTGACAAGTTTGGATAAGGTGATTAGAGGATGGCAAACTAAGTCTTATGAGGAGAGATTTAAGGGAATTAGATATGCAATGGGTCATGTTTTAAAATTAAATCAACAAAGCAGAGCTGTGCAGTGATTCAAGTCTGAAGAACTGCTTCATCAAACATGGATGACCAAATGCAGCATCGGACTATGATCTATTAAAGCAGTAGCTGCATGAGCCAATTGTTTTAATGCCTTGGAGATGGGCTGAATTAAGGTTGCAGCACATTTCAAGCCACCTCTTCTACTTTGAATTTAAAGCATTTATCCTACATCTTCTGTCAATACAGTTGACAGAAGATGTAGGATAAATGCTTTAAATACGGTGTATTAAATAGCTCTTCCTTCTCCTCTATGCTTGCCACACAGAATTATCTGTGTATGCACATTGCACAGTGTTAGTTTCATCTACATCTGAACAACTGAAGAATGCCTCTGAAGTAGCTGTGCAAAGCCTCCAGGAGAGCGTAGATCAGGAGGGGTATCAAATTGGTGGCCTGCGGGCCAATGCGCAATGCGCAAGCCATGCTCACCCTGGCCCCACGAAAAACATCGTGAAATGTCATGTCACAGCAACATGACACGGTGAGTTTTACACCCGTGGCCTAGATGCATACATGCTTTGGGGAGGGTGTTTCACTCACCCCTCTGTGCTCCAGCAAATGCCCTTTTGTAACATACCTAACAAAGCCTAATGATCTGAAAACCAAGGAAGTGAAGGTGAAGCCAGACACAAGGAATGAAAAATTAATAATTTATGTCAGAACTGATTATATATTTGAATAATTTCCCAGAGGAGCCTTTTGAATTTTAAAATAAAATCAGAAGTATCTAAAAGTTAAATAAATATTCAAGTAGGAAACTCCTTCATGTGTAACTCAGCAAGTCGGGTTCCAATTTATTAATAATTCTCTTTTTCAAAGCTGCTCTACTGTTGTGAGTTTTGACAGCATTGTGTCAACACAGAAGTCAACATGACATTTCAAAGATATTTCACATTAAAATAATTTCTTTCTTAAGATCTGATAGGATACAACAATATTTCTGCTTGATCTTTATCAGCAGGGTTTAGTTTTGTTTAATCTCTATTTAAATATAAATATAAGATCAAAACTTAGATAAAGCTACCTTTAACAGCATTGCAACAGCAAAACAAACATTTTGTTTGTTTTGCAAGAAAAAAAGATTAACTCTCAACCCCAAAAAACATTTACGCTTGAAAGGACAGTGATGTTTTGAAAATCAGTACTTGCCTTATTAAATACAATTGACATAATGAAGAAATTGAATAAGAAGTTGTCGGAGAAACCTTTGCAATCAAACTTGAAGAAGATGAACGTGAAGCTTAATGTAACAAACTGGTGAATGGGATTGCAAAATGAAGACCGCAGTAGCTTCATTCCCGCAATTGTAATTAGAAAGATATCACAGCTGCAAAATAAAATGGAAAGAAATTTGAAATAAATTAAAATAGATGCATCATAAGTATCCGGCCTGCTTCCATTTGGTTTATTTATCTGTTAAAAATGTGTTTGCATATCCCAGTCACTAAAATATGACTTGTGGCAGCTTTCCTAGCAGAGAACACTTGTTTTGATTTAGGGAGTTTGTAATGTTGCACTTAACAGGTAGCTCTTATTTAGTAACCACACTTGGGACCAGCAATCTCAGTCATTCAGTGAAGCAGTCACATAAGCACAACTGCACTTATGATCTTACTTCAGCTTTCTTTTGCTTTACAGACCCGTACATGGTTGCAAAGTTACTTTTTTTAATCACTGCAGTAAGTATGAATGATTGCTACACAAGACAGCTACTAAATGAGAGCCATCTGCAAATCCGGCACCGTTAGCATTACAATATTAGAAAAGAAAGAAAGAAAATCTATGCTCCTCCCAGAATGCTTATTTCTATCTGCTAGTATAAAATGCACATAGTCTTGTTTTAAACTGAAAGCAAGCTTTATCTGTTTATTTTAAATTATATAACAACATTCTAATATTTAGTGCACAATAACAATATTAGGAGTAAGGGTTATATTACTCTTTTGTAATAAAGTGGTAACAGAACATGATGGGCAAGCAGAACTTTAAAGACAACCATGTGATATCAAGATGTAAAGAAGCAAAATCTAAAAGGGAAGGAAAAGGCTTAAAGATGAAAGGATGGCATTTATCTTTATTCACAAGAACATAAGGAGATTCCTCTTGCTACATTTTTTATGACATAAGCACACTTCTTCAGAGAAAAATATGGTGTGATTCCTGCTCACATTTTGTAAGGACTGTGTCAGTATTTCCCAGTTAAAACAAACAACAAAATTAACAGAAGAGGATATATTTGGCATGAATAATATGTCCATGCTTTGAACCTAGATGTGCTTTTGCCAAAAACAGATTTGCTTTTGGTGTGAGTCATGGCTGACTGAAGACATCTTACAAATGACCAGAGGTGACAACTACTGAGAAGAACAAAACACCAGCCAGTAGACCAGTCCTTCAAAATTCTCCAGAGTAGAGAATGGGAGATCACCTAGGAGTGGTCTGAATCAGGGGTGGGATTCAACCGGTGTTACTACCAGTTGCGTGCGTGCGTGCGTGTAAAAAACCTTAAGCTGTGCTTCCCGGACAGCTGAAAAGCGCTGAGCGTAGGTGCGCAGTGTTTGAAAAGCCACTTTTTCCCTGCTTTCTCAACCACAGCTGTGCCACGCAAAGCAGCTGAGGTTGAAAAAGCAGGAAATAAAGGACAGGTAAGAGCCCGGGCAGGCGGGTGGGCCAAACAGCAGCAAACACAGAACTGGTTTGGTGTCTGCTGCTCTTCAGAACTACTGATTCTATAGAGCCGGACAGAACAGGTAGCATCCTACCCCTGGTCTGAATGGCAGCTCCTCACAAGGAGGCCATAAAACAGTGGTGTTCTGTGGATTTGAGCACCAAGAGCCAAGGGAGATGTCACCTTTGCTCTCAGCAGCTGGTTGAGTTAAAAACTGTTACAACAAACTTGTACAGCTTGTATATTTCCAAGTCTATTGTAGTCTCATAGCCCCAATATGTTAATACGTTAGGTTGTTCTCTCATAGTTTTTCTAACTAAGTTGGACTTAGGGAAGAATTAGATAAGCAACTCTTAAGTCACAATTTCTAGATCTTAGATCGTATCTAAGCATTACACCTAATGATTCTAAGCATGTCTATAACTTCACCCTGGTGAATAAATGAACTTCATGTAAGTCCATCATTTAGGCTAGATTGTAAAGCTAGGAAATTCTTTGAGAGAGGGAGTAGTCTGCTAGATCCAACTCCCTGTTTCATCTTGCTTTCAATCTTTCCTTAAAAAAAGGTTGAGAAGTTGATTGCACTGCAACTCCAGATGACCCTGGAGGAAGCAGATTATCTGGACCCCTTTCAGTTAGATTATAGGCCTGGGATGGGACTGAGACAACACTGATCTCATTTGTGGATGACTTCTGGCAGGAGCAGGAAAGAAGTGGTGTCCTATCCTTATTCTTGAGCGCTCAATGGCTTTTGATGCCATTGATCATCAAATCCTTCTGGACCAACTCAGGGGGTTCGGAGTAGAGCACGTTACACTGGTTCTTCCCCCTTCTTCCAGGACCCATCAGTGTTCATGGGATATGAGGAGACCTTTAATTCTACAAATAATGCATCTTGAAATATAATATGCAACTTACTATGAGGTTATCATCTTGTTTTTGCTGATTAAAAAAGCATCATTGGTGAGGGAGTTCAGTATTATTGCAGGATACAAGATGTACTTTTCAAAACACTGAAGCCACACATACAGTCTCTCAAACCACATTAAATGAGCAGCAGCTGAATTAAAAAAAAAACCCTTTATGAAATCATGAGTAATACCAATAATGAATAGCATCTAACTTTTATATACGCTATTAAGGAATGAATAGCTTTATACACATTATTCATTCATTTGAAATCATGTTAGTATTCAATATATTCTTATAATGAGGATATTGTTCTTCCTGAAAACTATGAAACATGAACTAAAATCTGCCTAATAACATTTCAGACTGGTTCTGATCATTTGAATAATGAGATGTCAATTAAAGACTGCCCAAGAATATAAGTAACCCTGAATAAGTAACATATAAGCGTTCTGTAAAGTGAGAGCTTAAACAGCTAAAAAGAACACCATAAAAAAGAGGTCACTTGCTATCGGGAGACACAAAATGTTGTAAACTTGTAAATGGGTAGCATCCAAGCAATGAACTCAGACAGTTGTATCATGGAATTTGCAAGCACAAAGAAAACCCAATAGTTGAAGAGCTACAGTTTATTGAAGTGAAAGCTATCAGTTCAGAAATAATCTTTGTTCAGAATTGTGACATACTGTATGAATGTTTTTTCTCCTTTATCTCTTATTTTTATGTTTCACTGTAGCGTACATATGAATTCCTCACCCTGTCTTGAACTGTTTAGCAGGACTGCCGTACTCAGCTGACTTTGGGTACTCAGAAAATTAAGCAAAACCGGATCTTTTCAGATTGGAGACTATGAAAGAATCCTAAACTTTAGTCTAGATTGGAAAGTGGGAAAAACACTCCAGAAGGTGGTAATGGCAAATCACTTTTGCACTGTTGATAAGAAAACCACACCAATATATGAAGTCAAAAAAATTGAAACTGACTTGGAGACATTAGTTTTAATTTGAAATATCTTGTAATGTATATATTTTGTAATACATTAAAAATAGAATGTTTGAATTATTACTGTTATTATTAATCATTATGTGAATTTCCTCTATATCCATGATATTGTTTGGAAGTTAATTTTTCATCTCTTAGATTCTTATTAGGATATTGTATTTTTCCTACTACACAAAATCAGTTGTCAGCTTGATTTTGAGAAGAGACTGAGATAATGGAAACATCCCTTTTTCTGACATCCTTATCACCTAACATGTAAAAACATACAAAGAGAGTCATTAAAATGTAGACCCATAGAAACTTGCCAGGAATGTTCTAATGTAAAGTGAGTTTAGAGCCTCTGAAGACAATCAGTAATGAAAAGTCAGGTTGCTTCTAGCTGATAGGTTTACAGGAGAACTAAAACTACAGCTGTAATTTTAGAGATATTTACAGCCATCCCTACTTCTCAATTCAGCAGTTGTTGCAATTCCAATCATGCTTATTATTTGGGGAATAATAATAAATAAAATTTAGTGAGATTCGAACTGTCAAATTGCATGCAGCTGGCAGTCAGCAGAAGTAGCCTGCAATACTGCATTGTAACCACTGCACCACTGCAGCTCTTGAGAAGGTTCACCTTTTTGCTGTATTATAATCCGTGCATCCCTTCATTTACTTTAACATAGTGGTTTCTATTTCTGTCTAATTATAACTTCCTCTTTACTTCATGATTCACAATAACGTGAAAAATACCATATTAACTCTATGTAAAGCATAATAAACAGTGTCATTTACATATTTATATTGAGGTGACCCAACATTCTACATACCTCTTACTTCTCTTTGCTGATATTCCTTATTTTTAAGGATAGGGTGGGATATCCACATCCATGGATGATGTTTGCGAAGTTGAGGAATGATGTAGTGTGTTATGAATCCCACAGTCCACGCAAAAATGAAAAGCACCAGGCTGAGTAATTCCTGGATTAAGAGGAAGCAAAATGAACCCTAAATCACATAGTTAAACCATTTTTAATTTAAAATATGATCTTGATAAAAAAAAGTCCGTTAAAAATGCCATTTTCCCCAAAAATACATTATTGAAAAGGTAACTGAGAAATTATAAGAAGGGCTTTATTTTCATTTAATAAAATGTTTTATGAACATTTTCTAATACTGTAGCTGAAGGGGAAAATAACACAAGAAAGAAATGTTCTAGTTTTGCAAAACATTTGTTTGTTCATGGACAAAAGACCTAATTGTGCTGAGGGACAAAAAATGTAGGAAATGTTTCATGTGGAATGCTAGTGGCAATGCAAAAGGAGGAGCTAAAATTGTGCAAAACACAACGATGGGGGGAAAGTGTATCCTTTAATTTATTAAAACTTGATAAACTGTAATAAATATAGACAAGGAGGACAAATAAATATTGATGAACACACCAAAGTTATTTGAAATCATAAATGAATTTGTAGGTGTGGTTCCATATCTTGTATATAATAGGTGGAACTGCCTGTCTTGTTGATTATCCCATTGTTGTGGAGGCATCCATATCACCACTATGTGGCTTTAGCTCTCAGTGCACATTAATGCTCCACAAAATGGTCTTTCTTGGACATAAAATTAACCCAGCCTTCTCTGGCTTGGTTCCTTCTAAAAGTATTGGACCACAAGTTTTCTTTTTCTTTTTTGGTCCTTGACAGAGGCAAGAATAATCCTAATGTAGAAGATATGGAGGGAATCAGATTTGGAAAAACTAAGTTAATCTTTTAAAAAATAAAATTTGGATGTCTTTATTTTTACTGTAACAAAACAACCTTTAATCCTAAAAAGAAACTTTAAAAAATGAAAAATGGAAACTAAGAAGGAAAAGAAAAAAATCTGCCTTACGTTATCTGCTTATCAATAGTCATTGATTCACCAGTGAATTTACTACTATAACATAAACAATACAAGATATTATTGTAAGGTACCACAACATATCTGCCATAATTACATATACTGCTGCATCTTTTGATTAGTAAAAAACATTACCTGTTCAAAAAAAGAAAAGGTAGGTCATACATTTCCAAAACCATTTATTGACATCGGGCTTATCTTATTTCAAAAAGATCATCCCTGCAGTGACAGAGTAATGTTCACTTCAATTTTTAAAATATCTGCAGTTCACTGGTATATCCAAATTCTTAAACTATGGTTTAAGCCTGAAGTTTGCTTGTTTCAGGAGACTATCATAAATGCCAGCTATACCACTAGGGGCAGAACACCAGGTATGGACCCAGATCCCTCTAGTTTTGCTGATGAAATGATGAACAAAGACCAGGTGCATTTGGTACATGTACATTGTCAGATGAGCTGGCAGTCAGGCCCAGACCACTGTAAAGTATAGTATACTTCCTTAGCTGTCTGTGACCAGTCAGCTACTAATGACTTATGATTATAACTGAGCCTGGCAACTGCAGTCATCAAAACTTTAAAGCAGGTCATCATGTGACTGACCCAATTTTATGACCCTTTCTTTTGGTGGAGGTCGTTAAGTGAACGTGACAATTATTAAGCAAACCCATATGTTTATTATGGGACTTTTTTTGCTGGAAACTGGAAGTAAATGCCCATTTCCAGCAAAACAATAATAAATTGTGATCACATGACTGTGGAGTGCTACAGTCATAAATGTGGGCCAACTGCTGAACGCCCAAAATGCATATCACATGACTAGGGGGAGGGGAGAAATGTGGGAACTTTGAAACTGGGTCGCAAGTAGCTTTTGGGGATCCATTGTAACCTTCATTCAAGGATTACCTGCACTGTCTTGAAGCATATCAACTAAGAGAATTATAAATTAATAAGAAGGACACTGAGTGCCTTCACTGGTGGGGCATTTGCAAAACAGGAAGTCAGGTTGCTAACCCAGGCAAATACCTTAAATTTTAACATAGGATGTGAGGGGCTGTTGCCCTACCTCAGTCCCCATGCCCCTTTCTGCTAACCCCCACTCCTTTAACCTCAAACTATCCACTATTGACCTCACCCCATTCCTAAGAGGTCTGTAAGGGGCTTGCATAAGTGCACCATCGTGCCTACTGTCCCTGTCCTATTGTCCCCATTTATTCTTACCTATTTCCTGCATTCTTACTCATGTTTATACTTTTACCTATTATCTTGTAAGCGATTGACAAACCAAATCAAATCAATCAATAAATAAATGATTAATGGCAAGGAGAGGTGGTATTTAGAAGGAATGAAACGGAAAGAGTGAGGTGGCAGACTAAACGGCACTAAAGGTGTAATAACAGGGAAATAAGTCAGAAAATCAATGTCAGTGAAGGAAAAATGTAGATATAACAGGTGATACATAAAACATTTTCAACTCAAATAACAGCAGATTCAAAGCTTCCTACTTAAAACAGGCTCACATCTAACACTAAGCTATTTTAGACCATTCAAGATGAGTCTTGAGCCCAAAATAGCTCTGTTTAGAGTCTGACATTTTGAGCCTCAAACACTTCCAGGATGAATGAGACGGGTTGTGTGATGCACATGAAACCAAATGTTGCAAACTTGAAATCAGCATTTCGAATTCAAAACGTTCCAAATATAAAATATTCTGCAGACCTCCTAGAGGTGACCTACTTCTTTTTTTTGTCCTTGAATCCTGTTTCACTCAGTCCCCACTATTAGCCCTCTTCTTTTCAAGTTGTTTTTTCTCCTTCCTGCCAAACTGACTTTCCATTTCAGTGCAGGAAAGTAGGGCAACCCTGAATGTCTTATAGTTGACCATTTTCCTCAACATCCAGGCTGTTCATACATATTCCCAAACATAACATTACTCCAGCCATGTTGTGCCAAAGGATTTGTTACTGCTGCCACAAAATCTCTTAGTATCATTATGCTATAATTGCTATATATTTGTAACTAGACTCTTAATGTGTGAAACAATATGAAACCTCATTACCCATTCCCTCTTACAAGCAAATATTTCTTCCCCTCCTCTGATTTTTAAAGCACTCTGAAACAGTATCTAATTGCTCTGAACAACAGATATATCGTCTTTAAAAAAAATATCCACACAGAAGGAAAGAAATGGTAATACTAACCCCTAATGACAAGAAAACGGTACTGGCACTGACTGCAAAGGATAGCACAGCAGCCACACAGCACACAACGAGATCTGATCTCAAGGTTTCTCTCTGTGAATATAATTTTTAAAATATCAAAATACAAGTAAAGACTCATTTGACTTACAAAATTAAACTACTTCTTGCTCTGCAGTTAACAGTTGCATAATAATTACAGGAGTCTTGGCTTTAAAGAATCTTCTCCCCTTGTACTTGTTTAATGTTCAGGCCAAGGTGTGGGCAAAGCTTCTTGAATCCAGATACATGGTTTATCTAGCACACACTCTCCACAACGACAATTTAAACAAAGGTGGCTATACAGGAACAATCTTTATTGTGCTCAGACTGGGAAGAATTGATTTCAGCTTCGGACACAACCAATATGTTGCCGATGGTCAGATAATTGGTATGACCTAGGGTTGTTGTAAGGCAAAAATGAAGGGTGGGCAAGAGAGTCTTGCTTTAATTCTTGGCAGGAGGGAAGGAAGGAAGGAAGGAAGGAAGGAAGGAAGGAAGGAAGGAAGGAAGGAAGGAAGGAAGGAAGGAAGGAAGGAAGGAAGGAAGGAAGGAAAGCAGGCAGGCAACAGGCGCTGTTTGTAATTTCTTATATGTGTAAACACTTTGCCAATGACACCTATTTTCCTTGGTGAATATGGATACAGCGTAGACAGTTCTCCCCATTGATCCTAAACTTTCTACATAGCAAATGTCTCAAAAGTTTCTTTCCCGAATGGGAAGGAACTAAGTTATTGTCCCTCTTCAATACAAATAAAACTATGTGTCTTATACCTACTTTCCAAAATTCCCTAACAAATCACTAATATGTCTGGAAGAACAACTCAGTGCAAGCAATATAGAGGGAAAGGGTTAATTTATCTTTGCTAGAGCTGTATAACACTTTCAATTCAAAGCCAAAAAAAAAAAGATGGTTCAAAGCTGGAGGCCAAGAAGCATAGTACTAAGCCACAATTCCTAGAACTGTCTCTAGTCTTTTCTCTCCCAGCTGTCAGGTAAATGCTGAAAACTTTTCCCTTTAAATAAAGGGAATGGATGCCTAAGTTTACACTGGGATGCCCTCATAGGCATTTTCGTATTGCAGCTGAATTTATTATTATTAGTTGAGGCTGTTGAGCAGCATGGGAGCCACTTCAATGGAGTGATTAAGATACTGGACTTGGTGCAGCAAAATCTGTATTGTAGTCCTGCCTTGGCATGAAACTCATCTCGCTGATTCTGAGGCTGTCGGTCCTCTTCAAGGCAATGGCAAACCATTTCTGAAAATGCTGCCTAGAAAGTTGCAAGGGTTTGTTCATGTAGTTGCTAGATAATTCTGGGTCTAAAGCAAAAAAAAAAAAAAAGTATGGTATACAGCTTTGGGGAATAAAATAAATAAATAGGAAGCACCTTTCGACATTAAAGAACACCAGTTACTTTTTATATAAGCTGGAGTGGGTGGGGGGGAGAGGGGTAAAGCTGAAAAAAAGGAAGAAGTGCAACATGTCCCTGAAATTGTCCTTCTTCTGCCATTCGACAAAGAATCCATCTGGACCAGTTTACAGCTCTACCGTAAAGAGATTTAAGCAATTTAATATAACATCATACAATAGCTCAAACCAGAGGTGGTATTCAGCAGGCTCTGACCAGTTCTGGAGAACCAGTAGTGGAAATTTTGAGTAGTTCGGAGAACCGGCAAATACCACCTCTGACTGGCCCCACCCCCATCTACTCTCTGCCTCCCGAGTCCCAGCTGATCGGCTGGGTCTTCTTTTGTTGCCCTGAACAGGAGAATGGAGCTGGAAAGCAGGTTAGTGGGGTGGGGAGGGAATAGGGGTTTTGCAGTATCCTTCCCCTGTCACGCCCACCAAGCCACGCCCACCAAGCCACACCATACCCACCAAGCCAC